GACTAGGGGTGCGGCTTTCCTTGAGCCCCCGGAGCGGAGGAGGAGGCCCTGAGTGCCTGCTCCCGGACGACTCCGGGGAGGCGCCCTCCGACGCAAGCAGGACTTCCCCTTAGGAAACGCAAAGTCAAGCTCCGAGGAAAGACCTTTCAGACCCCAGCGGTCGTTCCCAGCCGCGCTCAGGAAACATACTAAGGGGAAATGGCTTTAAATGACAGCTTCGCCATCCTAAATGGTTATGTATAATATCCAATTTGTGGGTTCCAGTAAAATAAAAAAGTAAATATGAAAATCGGATTTGTGTGTTTATTTTATTATTAAAAACGAATTACTAAAAAACGATGGCCCTGTTTAGAATTCATATCTTGCTTTACCAGTAAAAACAGCTATGGAAAACATAAAACCAAAAAACGCATCTATGGGAAACGTGATCTTTCTGCTTTGAGTTCTGTCAGATGCAGAGATCTAAGCAGATCCTTTCTCCAAGACGGTTCCGACCGGGTGCGCTTTTCAGTCGTGGCTGAGACCTACGGGGAGAAAGGGTAGACTGCATCCCAACCCCACCCGCCTCTGTGAAACTAAACTAGAGTCCAGTGCTGGCTCAAGGGATGTCCGGGAAGCTTGGATGGCGGAGAAATTCCCAGGTGCACCCACGAAGCGACAGTTCTTTTTTCTGGATAGTGGGGACAGGTTGGGGCCCCCCAAAAAAAGCCTTTAAAAAAAAACCCTTTCGGAGAAGGATATCTTAGAGATAGTCCCATAACTCTCTGTTTAACGCCCAAACAATACTGGGGAAAAAAGTTTTTAAATCCGCAAGACTACATACCCTCTCTCCCCTCCCTCCTTGATAGAGCCCCCGTTCATTTTTGAGGTGGCTGCAAGCACACAAAGCATGGAGATAGTGGTCTCCAGCTGAAACAGGAGAGGCGGGTCCGGGAGACCCCCGCCCCCAGTGCTTACTCTCGGAAGCCACCTCCGCGCTGCCGCGCCGCGGATATAAAGGGAAACAGACCCGCGCGCGGTGCAAGGCAGGACGCTGGTGGCGCCGGGCTGCGCAACACGCGCGATGTCTAGAAGTGCCTTGGTATCGCCACCCTGTATAAGGCCTGGCGGGATGGAAATGGACCCTGTACCGGAAAACTTTGTGATCAAAAGATGACAAGGAAATAAAACCTTTCCCTCACAGACCCGTTTGTGTCTTGGAAGTATTCACCGCCGACGCCTGGGTTTAAAATAATTAGATATTCGTGTTGACTCACTGGCACCGGCAAAGCCAACACATTCTCAAGGCAAGATGAAATTGAACCTTCAAGTGGCATTCTTAAGTTGGCAAGAATATCTATTTCTCTTTGTCGGGCTCCTTGCACTCTGTGAACACGTGTCCCGTAGGACTTAGGATGGGTATTTCTAGAGGAGAGGGCACTCAAACTCTCTAGGCATGAAGTCAAGCACCAAAAAGAAATACACAAGATGGGGTTTTGGGTGCTGTTGTTGCAGAGTGCTGCCAGCACCCTGAGCCTAGCGTCTCTCTCTCTCCTTAGAATCTGGACCAGAGACTGGAACTCTTTCGCACTCAATCCCCCCGCCCAGCCCGGCCCGAAGCGGAAGGCCAGAGCGAGGGCAGCAGGGACACCTAGAGAGGCGGCGGCGGTCGCGATGACAGCGGCGAAGCGGAACCCAGAAAGTAGCAGGTGGTAGCGCCGCTCACCTGTACTTTGAATTAAGGGCATCTCTCCATAAAGTCAGGGCTTCTGAGCAACCCCTCAGAGTGGGGTCTACACAGCGTGAAGATTTAAAATTAGACCTTCTCTCTGAGCTGAAAATGTATGGTCAAGTCTTCGAAACAATGATTGTGTATTTTCATAGCTGGAGCGATACACAATAACTGACATTCTTAAGAGGATGTGGAGAGAAGAGTGAGAAATGAAGCCCCCATTATAAAGTTTTCATCGCTTTCTAAAGAAGTTCCAAGCAACGTCTCGCTTCGGTAATGCAGCGTGTCTGTTGCTTTCCCTGGGTTTTACTCCTAGAAAGACTGAGGCAGGAAAGTCCTCAGCTGCAAGGATCTCAGACGATCCAGGGGAGATGCCTGCGAGGGTCTTTCCCCTCACAACCCGGATGCGCAGCCTGGAGTCGGAGAGCGAGTCAGTAACTGAAGCAGAAAAGCACTAGTCACTTGGCAACTTAGATATGACAACTGAATGCACGAGGCCTTGGGAGGAGGGTCATCCCTCCCTCCTTTCACCCCAGATCCTCGGGAGGGAGGCACACTACCTGACACCTCTTGGCCAGGGGTGCTACGCAGATGCTTCCTTGAGGGAGAACCGGCAGCAGAGTTCGTTTCTGGGTTCAACTCTCAGGGATTCTAAGTTGGAATGTAATTGTCTCGGGGCTGCAGACACCCGGGAGACGCGCGGACGGCTCTGCAGACTTTGTCTTTCTTCACGCTTATTAATGTGTGGCTTTGGTTGGGCAGAAGTTGTGAAAATAAAAAAGACAAGCCTCATCTTTTCAACAAAGCCGGAAAACTGAACATGCCGCTTATTATTTAATCTCTTACATCGCCACCCACTTTTGCCCCTTAAAGTTACCTGCAGAAAAACGCATCTCCTAAAAAGAACCTAACTTACTTGGAGACCTTCTTTCTCTTTAATCGACCCACAAAAACATGTCTTTTTAAAGGGGTGGGGGGGGGGGAGGCAAAGTAAAAATAACCGAGGACTCTCATGGCAATTTACTGTTCTAACTCTGCTTTTTAAACAACTGTAACACTCTGGAAATTTCAGTGACCCGAAGGAGGTCAGTGATTCACCAGGGTCAGCGAAGAAGACCGTCCCCATGTTCCGCTCTGAATGAATTCACAGCTGTCCTGAGGCTAAACTCAGTGGACCTTGGCTGCGCCAGGGCCAGGGTGCTGAGAGGCAGCTCAGACTTTAAGTGGCTTCTTCAGCGTTAAGTTACTTTTCTGCTAAAAGTTGATGCTGGGTGGAATCCTAGAGGCTGTGGTATAACTTACATATACCAGACCCAGGACCTGACAAACGGATATTTTATTATGTATTTCAGAAACGTTTAAGGCGAAATATTATTCTGAAACTACAAACTGAACCTCATCACTGTCCACTAAAGGAAGAAAAAAGTCCTAAGAAGTGCCTCTACAGACTTCTGCAAAGACCACTGACCTAAGGCCAAAAGGCTCAAAATGCTTGGTTCTTCCACCAAGACTCTTTACAACAATATTAAGTAGAAGAATTAGAAAAATCCTAGATTAAGTACAACACACTTCACATTCATGTTGACTTCCTGGGTCTTAAAAAGATACTTCTTAAACACTGTGCAAGACAAAAACTTGACAAGACTTTGAATCTTGCTAAAGTTCAAAAGCTGTTTGGTCTCCTGAGTTTCTCTTCTGAAAGCTGCATCTATTAGCAAAGTTAACAGAAGAGTTGAGATGTTCTCAGTTGCTTCTGATAAATGTAGGTTGCCACACTGGAAAATTCTGATTAAGGAAAAAATATTGTACTCCATTCTCTGGAAATTACCTCAATTTCCCAGTTCCGTTTGCCAGCATAGATCTAGGCTGTCAGTTTGAAACTCAGATGTTGAATAAGTGACCTATCCCAAATCAAACTCCAACTCTGTCTATTGTATGTAGATTGCCATTTTTTTCCTCACCCAGAAAGAAGACAAAATACTGTTCATTTACATAGTTTATTGTTGTAAACATTAAAATTGTCTTTCTCAAAGAAAGAATTTATCAGAAAAAAAAATCAGTGTCTCTAACTGTCATACACCATAGAAAAAAAGGCAGTGACTCATATCATGTGCCATACTGGAAATATACAAAGAAAAATACTACAGAATATGGCAATATTAAAATTCTTACTCAAACATAAAATAATATATTAACTGACAATTTCAGACATTAAAAAACAAAAAAAATTCAAAGTGCTCAGTAATTTCCAGGGAGTTATGTATATTATAAGCACTCTGGAAACAGTCAAAAGCTGCTGCATGCAAGTTTTGTTTAGCTTTAGACAACAAAATAATCAAGATATAAACTTTCTTTTATCAACATCAACGGTACATACAACACTTACAAACAAGGAATGTTGGACGGTGTTACAAACACTATGTGTCCCTTTTGTCAGGATTTTCTGATGTGTAATACTTGTGCCCACCTATTTTACAATTGAGAAAATGTTTAAGCTCAGGTAACTACCAATCTTTATAAAATCTAACAGACTACATAGTGTCTGAAATACTATTTATATAATATAGACATTACTGAAGTAGCAAGTGCCTATAACATTTTCACCCTAGAATCAACATGCTGGTCCCTTTTTTGTGTAGTTATTATTATTTTTTTTTTTTTGCAAACACACTTATCTTTTAGAATTTGTAATATTTATTCATAAATAGGCACAAAATAATTTAAAAAGCCAAACTGCATTGGGTAAATTTACAAGCCTTTGCCTTCTTCAACTCATGCCACCCACGCAACATTTAGTTTTACTATATATTACAGCTTTCTTTACAGCAGAAAACTTTGAAGTCTTTTAAAGGGCAATACTTGTAGGTCCCCTTATGGTGTGTGTGTGTGTGTGTGTGTGTGTGTGTGTGTACTACATTTCTCTTAACTGCAACAACCAAACGTGGCCAAATATTTCCCATCATACATTAGGAATCTTTCTTCTGAGCATTTAACTGATTTTTAAACTGATAATAAAAAGTTTATACCACTGTGTAGTCCATGTTCTAAATCCAGGATGCCAGAGCCAAAATGCCCTTTCAGGTTCTGCCTGCAGGTTAGGAAATAGCAACAGTTTTTGTTTTTTGTTTTTGTTTTCCTTTAAGGATTAAGGGGCTGGGGGTTTTATGGAAAGGGTGGGGGTTGGCTAGAGCTGAGACAGCTCTGGGGGTTATCTCTGCCCTTGTGACTTGCCCCTTCTGGACAGTTTTAGGTTTTCTTTCCAGTTCCTTTGAAGTGCATGGGAGGAGATCTAAAAAGGTAAAGTGTCCAGAAAAAGTTTGTCAATTATTGCTGGTGGTGGTACCAAGTCTTCTAGTTTCAGGTAGAAAATGCGCTGTAGACCCTGTGTGCAAAGGGTGCGGAGTTCTGGGAGCTTCCCCAGCAGTTTGGACAAATAGTTGGGGCGGTTCAACCCCCCGTTATTGAAAGTCACGTGGTCTTTGAGACAATTTACAATCTTGTTTTGTAGTTCCTCCACTCTCTTGGGTTCCTTCAGCCCGTGTCTCTCTGTGGAAAACACAATCAGAAACAAAAGAGGGATGCACAATGTAGTTAGCTAGCTGGCAAAGCCAAGGAGGATTGGTGGCAAGGGGAACCCGGGACAAATCCCGCTGGGCAGTTCTGGAGAAGTGCCTTGAATCTGTGGTACTGACCTGTGACCATAGCCAGGGCAGCAATGCAGGAGAAGGCAGAAATGTCGATGTTCATATTCTGCAAGTTGGAGGAGAATTCAACAATGGAATCAATCCATTCCCCAAAGCCACGAACGCATTGCAACCTGTGCAAGACCACCCCATTGCAAAAGATGAGTTTACCCTCCACTGGGTTGGACCTGCAATTAATACCAGAGAGAGAGAGGGGAGAAAAAGAGAGAGAGAAAAGCTAAACAACTAATTACTTGAAGAGCAATAAATGAGGGATTTAAGAGGCACCTAATTACCGAAGAGTTAATAAAATGTAGACCAGTGGACCTTGAAAGGGTTCAATTTCATAACAATCAAGAACGCCCCCTATCCCACCTCCGTGCCATTCACCCTGGACTTCTGGGCTCACTCCTCCTTTCCTTCTTTCTCTACCTTTTCCTACTCTCCTTTCCCTCTTTTTCCCTCTTTCACTTCCTGTTCTGACTTTTTCTCTTTCCCTCCTTTTATTGCCTTTTTCCTCTTTCTTTTCTTGTCTTGATTGTTCTCTTCCTTCTTTCCCAACCTCCCTGATTGCTTCCTCGGTTACCTGTATGCTAATCGCAGCACAAACAGTTCTAAGAAAGCCGATTCAAAAAGCAGGTCCTGGTCGGCTTTGGGCAGGTCAGCAAAGCCCGGAATCTTCTCCGCCCAGCCCCTGATGATCTCCATGGAGCCAGTCAGGAGATCATAGAATTGTTGGATATGCTGGGTGTCATCTCCACTCATCTGATAGTCGGGGTTCGCCTGGAACTGGAATTTCATTTTAAAAAGCACTTAATGAGGTTCTCTAAAATATATAACCCGTGAAATTGCTAACCCCGTTTCTAGTAGCGGAGCCAGGTTTTTATAACAATTAAACCTCTCTCTGACCAGTAAGGAAATTAGATGTTCCGGGGCAATTAATTCAATTAGGGATGGTGCTATGAGGTCGCTGCTTTAAATATGTAAATTACCATTTCCATACAGACTAAATACAGTGCCATCCAGCCCTGGGAAACGTTCACTCTTATCTCCACGAAACAATTGACACGTTAGCATGCATGCCAGTCCCAGAGTGGGTCTCGAGCAGAGATGCCCTTTGCAAATCTTAATAAAATTGCAGTGACTTCTAGGTTTGCCCGACATACTTCCTCCAATTAAAGCCCACACATTCCTCACAGCTGGGGTCAAAGAAGACTCTGACCACTTGATCCCCCACCCCACTGCCATACTTTGGACCCTCTCTCTTTTTCTTCAGACCCCCAAGCAGGCATCCCCACCCTGACAGTGCCGGAGAAGGTGGGGATTAAAGCATCTCCGTGGAAGATGGGGAATAAAATCCAAGTGGGGTCTTTGCACACTGCCTCTGGTGTGACACAAAGGCATTCCTGTTTGAGTATGTGTGTGTGGTGGCCGTAGGAAAGGGACTCAAAGAGATTCGACCACTGTGGCCAAACCCCTCTTCCTTCCACTCCACTGTCCTCCTGTCTACACTTGTCTGTGGGTCTGCCTGTCTCCTGTGGCTCTGCCCAGAGCTATGAGGACACAACCTTTCTTGCCTCCTTTTATCTCTTGAGTCTGGGGGTTAGTGATGGGTGTGGGGAGGGGTTCCTGCCCATCTGTCGGTTTGTCCACATGATACCCCCCCGCCAGCTTCTTACCCTGGAATAGTCCAGGCTGGTCATAGCCGGGTTGGAGTCGACATGAGCCCTGACGAGGGCACTGATCAGACTCACCGGGGGCGAGGGGGGAGAGGGCTCCTGTGGGCTCTTCGGTTTCGAAGGTAAACGACCTCTCCGGCCTTTTAAACTGTCCGTGCGAACCACTGCAAAGAAAGAGCAGGGTTAGTGCCGCCCCCAAAAGTGGGACCCAGCTGCCGCCCGGGCCCCTCCCGGGGGAAGGCCACAGCCGCGGGAAGTCCGGCAGGCAGCGCTGGGCCCCACCGCTTGTAAAGCCTTTACTGGGGAGAAGCATAAAAAATGCGGGGCTGTTTTATGTTTTCTTCCAAATGGGTCGTATAGTTAAAAGAGGAGAAGAGCCTGTCGAATTTCTCTAAGGCAGGTTGAGCAAGCAGACAGCTGCCGGTTCGTGGAGGCCAGACGCGGGCGGGGGGACCTGGAGACCCTGGGCTCTGGCGGTGGAGAGTGGGGTTGGCGAAAGGGTGGCGGTTTCCCAAGAGCACAGACTGCGGAGTCGGCTACTTGCCCCGACCGACCTACCTTCTTTGACCATCCCAACAGCCAGGCACTTCTGAAATCGGCAGTACTGACACCGATTCCGGCGCCGCTTGTCCACTGGGCAGTTTTTATTTGCTAAACACACGTATTTCGCGTTCTTTTGCACCGTGCGCTGCAAAAAAAAATAAAAGACAATAGAGGCCGAAAAATTAATTTTCTCTTGAAAGTCCAGCAACCCAAGGAATCCAGAAACAATTTCTGAACGGCTGGGGTCTACACTCCCTCCCCACAAACAAACACACTTTACACAACTGCCTTTTTTTTTTTTCCTTTTCCTTTTCTCTTTCTTTTCTTTTTCCTCCCCCAGGGCATGTTACAGAAGAAAATTGATAGCGTTAACATTTGAGCTAACCTTGCCGCTCCTTGCTGTGTTTTATATGCCAAGAGAAGAAGAAGGAGACGCTCAGTAAATACAAATCCGTGGGCATTCATATTATTTACATTCCTTGGAGACCTTCTCTATTTAAAATGATAAGATTATTCAATCAGGATGGCGAAATAAAGAGATCACTTAATTTGACCATAGGGAATTCTGTTCCACTTGGTTAGCTCAGACACGGTTCTCTGTCCTAACCAATTTCAATCTGAACAGAGAAGACAGCTCCGAGCACATGCAAATGACCCTCTTCCAACTCCCGCTCCAGCAACTTGGGGTGGAGGCCTGCCGGGTCGGCATGGTGCGGGGGATGCGACCCCGGCCTCCCTATTTACTTTGCTCAGTCGCCCAGATGCCCCCACCACAACCTCTGAGGACCCCGGGAGAACCTTCCGGGTGAGCTGGGGCTGAGCTGCCTGCAACGAGGCCGAGAGCGCACGCCGAGGCTCCCGGTTCTAGGGGGCCCCGACTTGCCTCCTCAGCCCTCTCCTTGCTCACCTTAAAGAATCCTTTGCAGCCTTCACAGGTGCGCACGCCATAGTGCTGGCAGGCCGCGTTGTCGCCACACACTGCACACAGCCCCTCGTTGGAGGGGGAGCCGCGCGATGGCGGGGAGGGCACCTGCGTGTCGAGCAGCTGCGACGCGTGGCCGATCTGCAGGCCCGGAAAGCCCATGGAAGCGGGCTTTCGGATGGGGTTGGGCACAGCGAAGGTCTGCCCGTCCACAACGTGGTGGCTGCCCGCTGGTTCCGGGTTCATGGGGACGTGCAGGGGCCCGTCGAAGCGCATCTGGCAGCTAGACACAGGAGTACCGGGGGGCGACTGCTTAAAGGAGAAGAGGGAGAGGCGGGAGACGGGCGTTTTCCTCTGCTCGATCATGTGCGTGGTGGCCACGTAGTTCTGGTGGAAGTTGTGGAGGGAGCCTGGGTCGTCCCACATGGGGCTGTGCTGCACCTGGAAGCCCGGGGTGGTGGACGTCGGGGGCGAGGAGGGCTTGTAGTAAACCGACCCGGAGTGCGGCATCATCTCCTCGGACTGGGGGGGCAGGTGGCTGTGTTGCTGGTAGTTGTGCATCTGAATGTCTTCTACCTTAATGGAAGACTGCTGTCCGGACAGGGGCATTTGGTACAAGCAAGGTGGCTTGACGTCGTAGCCTGTGCTGTAGTTGTCCATAAAGGTACTGAAGCTGGGGAGAGAAGTGGTGGCAGTGATTTCAGTGTTGGTGAGGTCCATGCTAAACTTGACAAACTCTGGAGTTAAGAAATCGGAGCTGTATTCTCCCGAAGAGTGGTAACTGTAGCTCTGAGAAGCGGGGCTGGCTCCTTGAGGCGAGGACCCATACTGCGCCTGAACACAAGGCATGGCTGGAAATGAAACAGGGTAATAATATACACTCAGCCTGGTCAACTGAACACTTTCTCCCGGGCTCGGGTACACCTGGAGCTACACCAGCAGCCGGTGGCGATCAGGGAGCGCGTAGGGGAGCGAGGGGAAGGGCGGAGAGCGCGAAGGCTGCGAGCAAAACAACAGTGCGGGGCAAGGAAAGGCTGATCAAATGAAGACCCAGAGCTAGAAAGCCATCGAGAGTCACCATTCCCGGCTATTTTCAAACGCCTCCCCCTCGACCCCTTTCATGGACAACCCAGCTCAAATGAGCCTTTTCCTCTGAAGCTCAGGTTCAGCAAGCTCATTCTAGAAATGAAGTTGAACTGCACAATGAGAAAGTTGTTCCCCAAGGCGAAGGGTTAGAAAACCTTAAGTTACAGGGTTTGCTAAGGAAGATCGCATTGCCCCTTGTCTTGATGTTTAGGGAATTGGGGGAGTGGGGAGGGAGAAAGAAATCAAGTTGCACTAACCTTCAGCCGAGTTACAGGCGTTTTCAAGGAAATTAAAGGTGGACAGTGTCGTAATTCAATGAAGGATAAAGTTTCCAAGATTTTTAGAAAAGCAATAGAGAGTCCAGCCTGTCAGATCTCCTCCCTGAAATACAGACACAGAAAGCTTCAGGGTGACTTTCCGGACAGATTCGGCCAGGCATCTGTAGACTCACCAGGCAGGCCCTTTTATGTCCTCTGTGATTGTTTCATTGGAAAGTGTGTGCAGCCTTCATCAAACCTAGCAGTTAAAATGAATGTGTAAAAGAGATGGCTGAAAACAACAGAAAATGCCACCCGTTGCACTGTGTAAATCCTTGCAGAGAGGAGGTTCTGAAGAAGCAAAGGCATTCCATGTACTTATTTAATACTTGTGAGGTAATAAATTGGCCCCTTTGGTAGGGCATACGGGGGTGAGGGGGAGTGTCATTTCCGTTTTAGTTTAATTCAGACCTGATAAGAAGTAACTAGAGTTTGATAACATACAGCACTGGAACCTTCTCTGATTCTTTTCCCCCCACGGTGAAATTGGCTTCTCTTTAGGGAGGGGGAAAGAAAGTAGAGGTCAAGAATATAAAATGAGGAAACCTCTTCCTCCACCCCTATGAGTTACAAAATGCAAGGCCTGGGCAAGCCCTAAAAGCAATCTGAATTGCTTTTGACAGAGCACTGGGATTGGAGAAACAGGTGAACTAGAATCCACTTTTCCAGGAAACTTATCTTTCAACATCTTTAATGACCAAGAGATGGAAAGAGGGGACCCTACTTTTCCAGGAGCATCGTAAGTCTATTGCAGGGGGACGGCAAAGCTGCTTATCTCCTATAGGCGTCAATGGTAGAAAGCTGTACACCTTCCCTACACAGCCTGCCACAATATGCCTACTTGCTGGAACAAGGCATTCTTGTACCCTAGTAATTTTCAAATGTTCCTGCTTGGAAGGCATTCTAGAGCATAGCTGATCTTATTACAAATGAAAAAGAAAGCCAAACATCCACTCCTTCTGTTCTCCTCCCCCTCCCTCCACCAGAATCTTGCTTCATGGGGAGGGAGGCTAACCAAAAAAGTAGAAAGAAAGGAGACTCTTGACCCCCACAGCCCTTGAGAGAGATGCCTGTGCTGGATATTAACCCCCTGGTTATTTCACAACTTCATAACTGTACTCTACATATTCACTCAGTCTGTCTCTGACACACACACGCACACACACACACACACACACACACACACACAAGCGTGGTATATATCAAAACCAGAAATTTCAGCAACTTAGTAACAGGACACTCTACCACCCCACCCCACCCCCCTTACTCAACAATACCCAGGAAACACTGGCACACTGGCTAACCGGGACGACACAGTTCCCAAGCAACACACAAATTTAAGTACTTTCTTTCTCTCTGACACTTTGTGGGCAGTGTCCAGGCCCCCAGTATACACAGCACTTGGACTCTCCGTGTCCAAAGGCCACAATCAATTCCGCACTAAGAGCAAACTTTGAGCACATTTATTTCCGCGAGCAAGTCCACAGCTCCCCGAACTATGCAAGTATCCCTTCAAGTCCACCAATGAGGAGCCTGGAAGCCTGTGTTGGGGGCCAGCTCCCCGCTAGTGCCAAAGCTGGTGTTCGGACAAATGCCCTCTGTAGCTGCGCGCACCAATTCCCCATCCTCCGGCCCCACTACGTTCCGCCTTTGGTGCCCACTTCCAGAGAACGTGTACCACAGATATGGAAAGAAGAGACGCGCAAAAGAAGAAAGGATAAAAAAAAGAACGCGAGTTGTCTGGGCGGCACCTACTCATTTAGGAGTTCTCCGCGTTTCTCTTCATTCATTCAACTCGGCCGAAGTGTAGTTCCCTCTGGAAGTCCGGGCGTAAGGTCGGGGAGGGGTGGGCGAGAGGGGCGAAGGGAGCAGAGACGCCCGAGAGCCGGGAGGGAGCAGGGGAAGGCGGCCGGCTGGAGTGGCGAGCAGGACAGCGGAGCTTTGCACGAGCCTCCGGGAGGACTGGCCCTGGCGGCCAATGTGCCTTTGTTTATGTGGCTCGCGCTGCCGCTGCCAACATGCACCTAAAGTCTCCGCGCGTCAGCGCGCGTCAGAGGCCCGCCATCCAATCGCCGCGCTGCCGCGCTCGCCGGACTCCTGGCCGCCGCTCGCTTTGGTATATTTCCGACCTGACGTCACGAGCAGGGCCGATTTTAAGGTGGGAACCATTCTGGGTTCACCTTGGTAGCTAGCTTGGTGGTTTTTGTTTTTGTTTTTGTTTCCGAAAGAGGTGTGACCTCTCCACTCTGGACCGCGCAGCCCTCAGAGCAGCGACATCTCACCCACCTCGCCAAACCCCCGCCCCACTATTGCCGCCGGGCCGTTCACACGTGGGGGAAGGTGCAACAAAAGCCTGGGCGGAAGGGAACCCTGGTGTAGCCAGCACCTGGAATCGCAAGGATTGGGTGTGTCTGGTGGCTCCCTAACCTCACCCACCCACAATCGTCATCCCAGTTAGCGGAAGCGCGTACAGATGTCCCAGGACACGAGACACTCCGGGCGCTCAGGCAACTGGGGTGGGATTTCCCTAGCCCGGCACATCCCTCATCCCTGGCCGCAGCCTTTTTCTCTGGAATATTCATATTCATATTCTCTGTTTTAGAGGGAGTCCAAGGTGGAAGGGGCTAATTTGTGTAATTTGTGTTTTCTTCTTTCCTTGCAGTGCTTCCTTGCAAGGGAGGATGTGGTGCGTGGGGAGGGAAGTGGAGGGGGGAAGAAGGAGGTAGGCAGTGACCCAGCCCTTCGGGGACCCCCAAAAGTCAGAGTGAGGCATCGTCCACTTTCCTTTCGCAGACAATACAGCCGAGCAGCGGGCAACAGGTGCGCCTTCTGCAGACAGATGCTCCAATCTCACCATTTGCTAACTCTAGTACTTTCGACACTGCTCAGTGCCGGTCACCTACTACCTTCCAGAAGTTTGAGGTAAATAAATTGACCCTCCTCTGAAGCACAAGGGCTCTCGCAGTCTCCGTGTGAGAACAGAGGAAAGACAAAACATAAAGAGGAGGGGGCAGAGAGCCTCCGCTAAGCGTCAAGTGTGAGCGTTCAGCCCTCCCAGAAGAGGGGCCCCGGCGGACTGTGGAGCTGTGGGAGGTGCCGCACCCCTCGGACCTCCGAGTCGCCGCCGCCTCTGCTAGGCAAGTCGGTCCACTCGCCGCGCCAAGGGCGCCAGGCGCTTTCTAGCAAAGGAAATACCGCTTCTCCCAGGAGCGAACCCCCTTGCTGGTCCCTCGGCCTGAGCTGGGCGGGCCTCTGAGGGCTTCTCCCGTGGGGCTGGAGGAGGCTGGAAAGAGAGCAGGGAGGGTTCGGGGCTCTTTCCTCTGCCCGTGGAGTTTCAGCCGCCCCTCCTCCCTCTGCTGGGCTGGCTTCCAGGCCGCTGGGGCCCCTCGGCAACACCCCGCCCCCGCCATCCTGGTGTTCCCAGTGCTGGACGAACGCGCCACGAGCTGCTCAGCTCTAATCTGCACCCACGCCTTTGCCCGCTCCCCGCCGCCTCCTGCTGCCCAGTGGCTGGGAGGCGAAGCAATCAGGTGCCCTGCGGCTGCCCCGAGAAGCCGCAGGCTTTTTTGCGCCGCAACCTGGGGAAAACCTACGTGACCACCTTAAGTTTCCCCCAGATGTTGCTACTGCTGCTGCCACTGTCGCCGCCGCCGCCGCCGCGGCTCAGCTTTACCGCAGCGAGCCCGAGAAAAAAATTAAACCAGGAAGTGTGTGTGTGTGTGTGTGTGTGTGTGTGTGTGTGTGTGTGTGTGTGTTTGGGGAGGAGTTGTGGTGGCGAGGGAGGGTGTGTGGGTATGGGGATTAGGGGAGGAGAGCAAAGAATAGCTCATTAGCATGAGCTCGGTGGCGTCAGAGCCCCGTGGGCAGAATCGATTCCACGCGAACGAAAGGGAAAAAGTGAGAGTTTAGAGAGCCGGGGAGAAGGAAAGGGGTGGAGGTGGCGGTGACGCAGGGGCGCAGGCATTGACGCACCCGCTCGGATGGGCCCAAAATAGCAACTCTAGCTCGGTGGCGCCCTCCCGGGTTCCCTTCCCCTTCCGCCAGGGAGCGGGGCGCGCCCAAGAGGAGCTTTCCTTGATCCCTGCGGTGGGCCAGGCTCCGGACCGCTATTTGCAGGCAGTCAGAAACTCCAGCACAGCCACGCGGAGGTGGCAGTTATTAGTTTTTAATATATTCTTAGGAAAGCGAGGGCTTGGGGAACTTTATGGTTGTAACCATTACTCTTCATACACAAATAGGCACATCTAAGTAGATACATTTCCTCCGCACGCTCCTCAACCCTTATTGCCATTAAAAAAAAAAAAAAACAACAACACTTTAGCCTGAGTTGAGTCTGGGAACAACGTGAGAAATCTCTCCCACAGAGTGGAAAAGTGTTCTGGAGTTCCTAAAGTGAGCTCCAAGAAATACATGCTGTGATTCGATCCGTTAGTCTATAAGAGCAACCT